CATTGAAGATGACTTAGCATATTTTAATGGAATTTTCACAGAAATATTTCAATTTGCAGTTCAACTCAAGCTTCCTAATAACAAGAATATCCGAAGGGTTTACACACACTAAAAAAAAAATTAAAAACAGCTAACATCATGGTGCAATTCATAAATACGATACAAAGATGTTTCTGTAGATAAAAATAGCCCAGGTCTATCCTGAGAATCTAAACAGTAAAGGTCAACTAAAATAACTCAAATTAATTCCCTGGTTATATGCTTTTAAGACTGCTGTTGATATCATAGTTTTCAATGTTTGATGTTTGCAGTGTCGATCCTGCAGTTTTATTAACTCAACACCACTGGGTCGCTAAGAGGTAAAGCAAGAACTGAGTGAAACAGAAAAACAGGGTTGAAGGAGGAAACAGTGTTAGTATTCCTAAAACATGACAATCAAGTAACCAAGAGAGAGCCTTTCAGAAATCACAACCTTGGTATATTCATTTTCTTCAAGTTTATATGTTAGAGACTGAGGTAGAACAGAGTTAAGTATAGGGGCAAGGCCGGTTAGGAAAAAGGGCATAGGTCATCACTGACAGAAAGTATCTGGAACATTTTCAACCACTTTTCTTCATCTGTTTCTAAGAAGAGAATGCATTTAAATGTCTATGTTAAATTTACAGTCTGGAGAGCATATAGGTGCACATTGATGGTTATTTTTTTCTCCTTCCTTGTATACAATGCTTTTCAGACAGGGTTGGTTTTTTTTTCTCCATGAGCCCAAAGCAAAGGTTTGATTCCTATACAGGTTAGTTAAACAATTAATGAAAACATTTTCATTTTTCATGACATAACATCTGTATTCTTCTTTGTTTTAGGAACCATTTGCTTGTTTCTCTTTTGTTCTCTCTTTTTAACTAACCCTGATAACACATGGTGTTTCACTTGCTAGAGGACTAAATTCAGAAAAGTTTCTGAAATCATGTCAGTATAAATACCTGAGTATATTTAGTTAATTGAATTGTTCATTTTTTCATCACAAAAATTGATGGAAGGGAAGAGAAGGGAATTACAAAGTATCAGGTGAGGAACTATTTTTCCATTCAAATTATGGAGCTAATGTGATTTCACTCATAAACAAGACCTAAAAACTTAAAAATCTCTATAATTAATGAGAAAATGGAAGGGAAGACCCCCATGGTACATAAACTAGTCAATGTGATGTAACCTGTGATGTGAAGTTATCTTTGAATTTTGAGGAATGTTTAATCTTTCTATGTATAGAGGATTTGTTCTGTATATAACACACATTACATCACAAATGGCTTGCAGTGCCTAGATTTATGCAGGAGTTTTTAATTCCAGATGTCAAAAGTAAAAACTGTGGCAATCATGGGAATTTTGTCACTAATCCTCTGATTCTGTGATCAACTCTTTTGGATGTCTTAATCCTTTTGCAAATTTTTCTGACTGGAATTGTTTTTTGTTTTTTTTTTTGTTTGTTTGTGTTGTGGTTTGACACGGAAAGAGAATTTTTTTCCGGAAGGAAGAGGTCAATTTAGATATTGACCAATTGAAGGTGAACACGCCTCTGAGAACACAGAGGAGTTAAAAGCAGAATTCCCAGGAGAACTCGCTCTCTTTGGTTCCGGTCAGCTGCAGTGCAGCCTCTCCCCTGCCCGGCCGTGGCTGGGTGGGGAGGGGAAGCCCCATGGCCTGAAAGGTATGCCAAGGGTGGTGGAAGGACTGGAACCGGGCTGGCCCCTGCAGATGGAAGGGTGGAAGAAATCTGGGATGTCTCCATTCCCCCCCCAAGAGTTTCTCTCCCGAGAGGGAGAGAGAAAACTGCAAGGAAGGAGGAGCGGGGGGGGAAGCTGCAAGGTGCCCAGTGCGTGGGAGTTGCTGGATGTCCGGGCATCGAGCCATCCTGGGAGTTCGAACTTTTAACCCTTCCTTGAGAAATGAAAGCTTTGTGAATTTTTCCTTCCCCTCCTCAGTTTGAAAGAGAGGAAGAGGGACACCTTGGACCCTGGGATGTTAGAAGGAGGAATTCTAGATGGGAGGGGGACAAGGAGTGGCTTTTGGCTGGACTTTTCCGTGTTAGCCACAACCTGAACCAATCTTCTCTTTCAAAAGGGACTGTGTTTTGGGAGGATGCCAGTGAGTCAAGAGACCTGCTTCAGCTGGGAAAAAGACAAAAGTGAACAGAGAAAAGGTTAGGGGGTTTGTGGTGGTGCCCCCTTGTCCTGGAAAGGAAAGAGAAGAGAAGAAGATCTCTGTTCTTGAGCCCTCGGCCCCAGGGGAAAATGGGGGGGACTGTGGTCCCAAACAATGAAAACTGAACTGTTGTTTTCTCCCCTCTTGGCAGGGCATCCTTGAAAGGAAAAATCCTAAAAGCAGTCTGTCCATCCATGCATT